GAAACCTCTAGTTGAAAACAAACACAATCCGTTACCCGGAAAATGCATCTGAGGAAAAGTTATCGCTGTTTTTCTATAAGTGGGCATTTTACCCCAGGGGTGCATTATGGGCTGTTCTCCCTTATGTATGAGAGAAACAAAACACGAGTTCATTTTAGAGCTTCGAAATTGTAGAGCCCTGGACACAACACTAGTGATGTGCCATAGCGCAACCGGCCCCCTCCCATGACGTAATGCATTCGGGCGGTTCCGGGGAGGGCAAGGGCCTAGAGCATAGGGTAAGGTTTAGTTAGTCGGGAGTGCTCCCATCCCCACACCCTGAGTTATCTTCTCAGGTGTCTGGGAGCAGATTCCCCCCTGAATAAAAATAAAAAACACCTCTGACGAACACTGTGCTTGCGAAACTTGACGTTTTGTTCGGTGTAAGGATCAAATTTTAAGATCGACGGCTTTGAAACGGGATCAACTTCTGGAAGAGCGCTGGTGGGGAACACGTTTTGGCAAGTTACCACAAAAAGACACAAGATCGGTATGCATACAAATTCTGCAACGAGCAACCGATCAAGTTTGACTGGAGATGACTCACTCTTGCGTACTGGTCAAGCCCATAGACGAAACGGACACAGCTATTAAGTGCAACTCGTAACCTGCCCATGGAGTTCACGCAGGGGTTTACAAGCAGAAGATCTCTAAACAGAAAATGCGGCAGTATTAGAGCTTTGTACATCTTAAGCCGAACATTGGTGGGTGCGGCAGAAGCTGTACTATAGAGCGTGCGCAGACAAGAGTACATTTTCCCGCATTGCTGATTAGTTAGTCCATCACACTCCAAGTCAGCTTGCAACACGAAACCAAGATTTACAGCTCTGTTGGTCCATTCAATGGGTTGTCCTTTCATGGAGATAACAGGCAGTGAATCAGTGCGAACAGAGTTATGACGGCGTCCCTTAACGAAAATTGTCTTGCTTTTCAACTGGTTGTAGCGGTATTCGAATTAGATATTAAATTAATGTAGCATGAAGTTCAAATGCTACAAATGTTCACTGTTACTATTCGAAACGACACGCACTATCCCAGTTCACTTGTATGCAACTGGTGAACTCATAGCAAGAGTAAATTATCCCTGCATGAAATTTCACTCATTATTTGTTCATCCGCTCACTAGGCGCGTAAGTTTTCTCATTTGAGGTGGCATGAAATTTGATCCGTGGGATTGAGTATAATCTTCCAGTAGGATTACTTGTCGTCGGAATTTAATAATAAGAAAAACACTTTAAGTTAAAGATTGGAATGAGCTAGACAGATGTGGGATACTTGGGAGGAAAAGAGATAGTATATCTGATCGAATCGGAAGGTAATCGGAGATCGCCTTTTGATAAGACCGTTTTTTCGGTTTCCGGAACGAAGGCCAAGAATTGTTTTAGCGGCCTTTCTGAGGAATCCCAAGATCTTTCTCGTCCACTTTAATCTAACCCGTGGAAGAGGCAGGACTGTGAAGTTGTTTGGTATAGTTTCGCGGTGTGTTTGTAGAGGTATATTAAAATGTGAGAAGTGTCTTTAAGTTCAGTGTAATTAATTGTTCGTTAATTCCTTTTGATTAGGTGTAGTTACTACTGAATAAGTTTAGTAGGCTAGTGCGGTACTATGCGCGATTTAAGTTTCAACAAAAAGGTAAATGATTTACTATGCGGTTTTGCAACAATGCGCTCATGCAGTTGTACAGCCGTTTGACGGCTTTTTGCCTCTAGTTTCGTCCCACCTCCCGCTCGGCATAGCGCTCCCTCGATATTACCACTACCCTGACCCCACGCGTCGGTATTAAAGGACCTAACTTCGGCCGGAGCTAGAAGGGAGCTGCACCGTCCATATCGCGCTCCAGGTGAGCATTTTTCCCACCCACCGGGATATCACCACGAAAAGCAGTTGGTGAATTAGAGAATCAAGACTCACACCCAATTTGGTGAATCTTTTGTATTCCGTGCAGAAAGCGTCGCAGGGGCGACAGACGATGGTGAGGAGCAGTCGGTAAAGCAGAAGCGTGAGTAGAACCGTACAATGTCCGCATGCATGCATTAAATCTGGATGAAGCGCCATTTAGAAATCCGCACAGTTAGGTAGGGAATTAGAGAGAGAGAGTAAGAGAAGAATGAGGGTTCCCGGATAAAAATGTTTAGATAATAAAAATTTCGTACTATTAGTTTTTTCTAAATAAATGTTTTTCTATTCTGCTAAATAATTGTGTTGATTGTTAGGTTAGAATTTCCCGTTCAATGAGTGCACTGGTCTAAAGAAGTTTCTCACGTTTCGTTCGTTGTTGTAGTTTTCGTTGTTTGGTTTTACTCCAAGTCGGACTGCTTGGGAATCTCAGTCCACCATTTCTGTCCTGAAGCGTGTAGATTTTGTGTTTGGGGAAGAGCTTGACCTGTGATGAGAAACAGGTCGTCCAGTGCATTCGCTCCGGTAGAAAGACGGTTTCTGGTTAGTTTTCATTCGGTTGGATTTAGTGTTTTCTACGATCAGACCATTCAGCAATTCTCTAAAGGTCTTCGTTCACGATTCTTATTAGCTCACGAACACACGGGCGAAACCGTCTTATATATAGTTGAACGTCGTCAGCTTAGATTTGAATTGAGCACCATCTTAGCACCGTTGGGAGATCGTTAATGTAGCAGCAAAACAACAAAGGGCTGATCACCGACCCTTGTGGTACGCCAGATACCTCGCCAATCTTAGAACATTGATTGCCACAAAAGACAGTTTGAGTTCTTCCAAATAGGTGCGAATCGACGAGACATACTGCACCAGGGGAAAAATTGAACTTCGTCACGAGTTTCGAACATAGTTTTCGATGCAGGATTGTATCGAACGCCTTGGAAAAATCCAACAGGACCAATATGGCGGACCCTTTCTTGTCGCAGTTTTGATGCCATGTCCTCTGCAAAACCCAGCTTGACAATCCGGTAATAGATGGTTCTCAGAAATGAACGCCGACATTTGTTGCTTCAAAAGTGTTTCAAAAACCTTCGACATCGCACACAAGATGCTGATAGGCCTGAGATTTGTTAACGTGTTCAAATGTGTTTTTTTTTTTTCTGTAGTGGCAGTACTGTACAATTATGAAGCATATCCGCAATCCATCGAGGCCCGTTGCGTTCGACCTAATGTTGCGTTCACAACTTCCCAGTCTTGTACAGGATGGAAGGAGAAACTGTGAGGAGAAGTTTGTATGGAATGCCTTGGTATGTCTTGGGATGTACTATTGGTGTAGCTTGCCAAAAACACTCGGTTTATTTCGTTTGGGTTGAATTCACAGCCCGCTGACGCTTGTTCCTTGCCAGCACCAAGAGTTTTGATCCGCTTCCACAGAGTTTTGGTTGGGATCCTGTCGTCTAACAAACGACGCAGGTAATGTGCTTTGGTGTCCTTGATCAACGCGTTGGTTCGATCCCTCAGTGCTTTATATCGTTGTCTTGCTTGTAACTTTGAATCCGACGATGCATTCAGCCAGTCCTTGTAGGCTAAATCGCGTTCCAGTATTGACTTCCTGATATTGTAATCAAACCACGAGTTATTCTGCATACGGCCGCTGTTTGTTCGAAGCGGGAAACACTGATCGTGGATCCGTTTGAGATGACTGTTGAAGACATCGAGTAAATCGTCGGAATCGTCAATGGAGTACATATTGTCCCATGCAACGGACTGTATAGCGTTTTTCAAACCTGGAGCGTCAAAATTGACATATGTAGTCACGATACGTTTGAATTATTGGTGCAGGCGAACCATCAAAATCCAAAGAACCGAAAATCAGATCATGTTGCGAAAGTGCAGGAAAACTAACCTGATTAAAGCGCAGAACCTTCGAATCGCAGCTAGTGATAAACAGATCCAACTGTGAGCATCCTGTATGGCGAAAGACGTCAATGCAAAACGCTGAAGTACTGTTTCGAAGTGTGCTCGCTTACTGTTTCGGGTGTTCAAGTCTGTGTTGAAATCTACAATAAGCAAAACGGTTTCGTAGCGTGCGGCAAAGTCGGCTAATTTATCGGCAAGAAAACCTGAACAGTCGTTTTCTGGAGGATTGTAAACGGCTACAATCAGCAGTTTCTCCGAGCGAAGTCGCAACTCCAACGCTAGGCACATAATTTTAAGTTTTTCCGATGAAATATGTTAAAACTTTTGCATTTTATTTCTTATCCTTATGCCCAACTTTCAACGAAAAAAAGTCTTAGGTTCATGAAGCTCGATATAATATTCGTGATTCAATACCCCGTTTTCCGTATATTCCACACTTTTTCGGATTCTTCTTACTTCCTTGACTGTACTTGTCATACATAGAGAAATTGTAATCCGCATTTATTTAGGAATTTAAATAGTTTTTATTTCTTATTCAGCAACAATTATTCATCAAGTTACCAAACATAGATAATGCATATTATGCAACTATCTTTTAGATATTTTTTAGCACTGATAGCTGCTATGCAATAGTGGATTATTTTAACTGTTATGAAACCTGAATTTTCTATCAACCTACAAACGCAGTGTTCCACAATTTCAACCAGAAACGATCGAGAGAATTAATCACACAGTGGAGTGCATTTGTAAACTGTAAAAGGAAATTGACCGAGAGCATCTCAATCAATCAAATTTCTTTTTGAATCACGATTCATGCTCTCAATTGAGGTAAACTGTAGACACATAACGATCGCACCATTTACCCTCCAGTCGGAATAACCTGATCGTGTGGTTGAAGTTCGTTCATCCGAAACCGGTTCCAATGTAAACCGTCCTGTTTATAAACATAAACACCTCAGAACTCCAGTTTCTCCACGGTCTAAGCGAATGCCAGAGGCTTTGCATGTCGCAAATATATAGGTTATATAACAGCAATGGCCAATGGCAGTAGCTGTTTGGTCATGCGTTAAATCAAACAGTTCTGAATTGTGTCACCATTAGAGGCTAGAAACGATCTGAAAAAAAAAACAGCATAAACAACTTCCTACCTGTGTGATGGTCGCCAGCATCTGCATCCGGCCCAATTTGATGTGCGGTTGGAACGGCTCCCGGCACGCTACCGAATCGCCAGCCCCAAGTCCAGCCACGTATGCACAGCCGACGATCAGATAGCAGATCGCTAGGAACACGATCGGCCGCTCCGGATATCGAAAGCGCGAAGAATCGATCAGAAACGTGAGCACCTGAAATGGCATACAACAGGGAAATGTTGAGTGAGGAACATGCATATGAATGGTGTGTGGATAAGGCTTCTGCTTGGACGAAACGAAGGGAAGAAGGGAACAAACGAAGCAAATTTAGAAAACTTTATTACGACGAGCGACTCGGCGGGGTCGCCTCGCGGGCAACCGTTCGATCGGACAGATTTAATTTCTACCCATCAATCAGGCTCATTTAAATGCGGACTTTTCGAGCGAGGGATCGATCGTAAATTGAATCCAAAACTCGAAGCTCGCACAGCTTTCGAGCCAACTAACGAACCGCGCAAGTCACGGGGGAGAGTGATTCATATCGCAATTTGAGTGTCTTTCAATTTACCGCTCGATGCAAATTGGTACAAAATATGTGTGATGCAAGATTCGCTGATTTCCCAACCGTATACATATACAAATAAGGTCCACACGATCTCGCTGTAAGTTGAAACTTTGCCAAGAGTCGTTCAAGAGCGTGGCAATAAATTCAGCACTCGTCGTCGTCGTCACCGTCATCCAGTCCACGGCGCGCGAGGGCCTTAATGAACTTCTATATTCATGAGCGGATATTCCAGGCGCGTCCAGAACAAGGCAAGCATCGGCACCGAAGAAGACCAAAACAAAGACCATCTTAAACTCAACATATGCTCCGGTTTTGCCATCAACAACAACAGTGTTCCCCCTCAGTCGGAGAGTTGCTTTCGCTGCTTGCTTTTGCCCGCGCACAACGAACAACTCCATGGATCCATTCATCAGCATGGGTCCGTTCAGTGAGCGCAACTGGTCATGTTAATATCGCGTTCTAGCAAACATAGCAGCCTTTCGCTGGGCCTGTTTACCTTGCCCAACCGGCCGGGTTTGACTATGCTTGGAAAATCGCGACCCTCAATCATCAACTCACGGGAGGGGGGTGCTTCCAGCCGCGTGTGGAGCAGAGAAGAACGAGTCAGGTGAAGGCAATTTGAACTTCCTTTGGCGAGCCGGGCCCGGTCCATCAGATGGATCATCAACACCAGTGAGTCAAGGTAGTACCGGTTCGGTAGTAGCAGGGCAAGAGGCGGCGGTGGTGGTGATGGAGTAGCATAGGAATGATTCGTTTTTCGCCGGGAATCTTTGAGGCTATGATTTGACCAGCGATCGTTATTGATCACGTGTGGTGATTTAACCGGAAATATTATTCCGATTCGAGTGAAATTGATCGCGAAAATGGTTCGCGAGAGATAATTGGATTTTGGAAGTTTTTTTTTGTGAGCAGGAAAGTGGATGAATTGAGTTAATGGATTTAAAGAACAAGATTGTTGAACATTCATGCTGTGAAAATAGATTGGAAATGTTAAGAGTATTTCTGACATCTTTTATTCCACAAGCTGCTTAAGCTGGTGGTAGCCTGCTAAACCTTAAAGCTCTCTGTATTATTAATAACATCAAACTAAATTCAACTTAAATTCATTAATGGTGCTCCGCAAATAGTTCTGGAAAGTTCCCAAAAAATCACATCTAATGTCACCAGAAATTTCAAAATGAAGTCTTAGGAAAACAAAGCTAATGATTTGAGATTTTGCAAGAAGTTCAAGATTTGTAGAAAATCATGCTCTCATACTTCTGTAGTAACCAAATACTCCCAAACAAATCCCATATTTTCTAATAATCTATACATGGCCCTCATGTGTGAGATTCCGTTCAAAGTATACAAATTATCCATGTTCTAGTTGCTCTCTATGTCTTAGTTTGTACGACACAGTTTACGCATACCTCAACTTTTGAAAACCTCATAATTGCTACCGCATGTGCGCCAACAACAAAACCTATTTTCCAAACATCGCTCATGTCGCATCATATAGCAAATCTGTATGCTTTCCCTTCAGGTATGGGTCTAGTCTACTCATACGAGGATTCCAGACGAGGGTTAGGATTAATGTTTTGAATTATTTAATAAAAATTAATTCTTAGGATAATGTTAAAGGAATTCTATGGAGCATTGATAGATTGCTCTTATAGGGCTTTGTCATTACGTTTTATTATAGTATGCTAAAGTAAAGTCCAGTTGAATGTTCAGATAACACATCGTAAAAAAGATAGTTTAATGAGCGCTCTCAAGTGTACCTTTAGTGAAAACACAGAGTGTAACTCTACGGTGCAAGAATTGTTGCATTTTGATAGGGAGATTCATATCATTAAACTATCTTTTTGGGATGGGTTAAATGAAAATCCTTTTGGATTTAACGTAAGCATTCTATATTAAAAAGCAATGAAAAAGTCCCAAAAAAGCAACCCAAACCTGCTTTGGAGGAATCCAAATCGCATAGCGGAGTCTTAAGGAGAATTTCAAGGTCGAAAATAATGTATTTTCTTCTGATTTAAAGTATAATTCCAAAATTATTCTGAGTAGAATTCCAAGGTAATTACGGATCAAAAATAAATTCAAATTTAGTTCTGTTTTCTTATTTAACCAAACATTCAGCCGTGGGCTAACAATCCATTTTTATTTTAATATACTACTATTGAAACATTTGGAAAAGTAACACATAAGTTGATATCGTGGCGACTTCAGAAGTTTATCTTTTACAAACTTTATAATTGGTTGGTACAACTTATAATTTATGGTGGATGATTATACTATTTTTTCAGAACAATATTTGTTTGGTTCCATTTCGAGTTCTAAACCACTGTGCCAAATTTGGGGACGATTGGTTGTAGTCCAGCTTTCCGCATTGCGTTTGAAATTTGTATAGAAATTAGTATGGGAAAACCTACTCTTTCGCACTTTCATCCCTAGAGACCACAATTTTGCTTGAACCTTTGCAACTAACCATGTCAAAGTATAATCCAGAAAGTACCTAACAACTTTGAGGAAGTACGGTACTAGAATGTCTCTAAAAAAAGTTATAACTGTTCAAAGATCGATGCTTCGAATTAAATGCCAAAAATCAATTTCCTACCGCAGTGTACCAATGAAATTACCAACTGAAATAAATTTGGAGTTTTTATCTTATCGATTTGGTACGTTCAGATGAATTATTCAAAAAAAAAAAACAATTGCTCAATCTCATAAGTGCAGTTAGAGAGAAGGATGGGGCTTACTATACCCCCGCATAACATTACATTAATATCAATAGAAGTTAAGCTTTAAACTGAAATAGTGCCGGTGTTTGTGTTTGTTCAAAACTATATGGTCAATCTAATAGGCGTAGTTGAATAGGAGGGGGCTTACTGTATCTCCATATTTTAGTCTGTAACTTTATTTTTATTGATATCAGTAAGCCTCCTCTCCCCTATTCAACTACACCTTTTAGACTGAGCAAATATTGTTGAATAACACATCTGAACATACCAACTTGACGCTTTACTTCCATTGATATAAGGGAGAGGGCAGTATCGTAAGCCTCTCTAACTAAGCTTACGAGTTTGAACAATTCTAGATTGAGCTGGAATTAGGGCGAATCAGCTTTTGTAAACAATGACTTCTCTCGATACTGTTTCGAAAATCATGGCTCTCCCTGGCAAATCGACGTCACGATCGACTAGGGGAAGAGTTCCCCTACCCGATGGTGCAGTTTGTTTGTGTAGGCGTGCCTTTAATGCCTAGAAATCAACCAGAGAAGTTATTGTTTACAAAAGCTGTTACGCCCTAATTCCAGCTCTATCTAGAATTGTTTTTGAATAATTCATCTTAACATACCAAATCGATAAGATAAGAAACTAGGAAATTATTATTATTTGGAATCTGACTTCGATAGTTTATTTTGCTCATGACAGGAGCTTCGTTGCCTGACAGAATTGGATGATATTCATTCATAAGTTGAATTAGAAACGTCTCGTAAAATCCTCTATTGGTACACTGGCAGTGTTGGCAGAAAAAGTGATATTTGGCATTTTTTCTTCCTTTATTTAACGTCAGTTTCCGCAATCTAGTGCCAACCGCCGACGGACATCTATTGCCTTCCATTGACGGCAATCTATTTATTTATTTATTTCGTCAAGCAAAGTAGACTACATACAATGGTTACAATGTTTTACTTACATACTATGCATTTTTTCTATAATGTTTTAGTTGGGCTTTAATTTCTTCTTTTGACATAGTGATGCTAATGACTTCACAGTGTAGATTATACTGTCGCATCATTCGGGTGAAGGGGCCATTTTTTGCGTAATTTGTTCTGCGTGATTTTTCTGAGAATAATTTTCGTGTTCTTAGATGCCGACAGGGTGTGTAGAAGTTTAATTGTGAAAGTATTTCTGATGATTCTATGCGATGTGAAACAACAACATTAACAAGAGGAACAAGGAAAAAATATTTGACAAATTCATATTGCAGCACCTGTTTTTTCCGCTCTTCCTGACAAGATGGCACTCATCGAACTCAATTTTGAGCATTCATAAGGGCCAATACCGCAAACGTAAACAAGGGTTTCTTTCAGAAAATTCTGTAAATTCGTAGTGTATCTATGCAAGCCACCACCCAACTAACAATTTTTCAATGTAAACGCTTTACTCATTTCATTTATATAGCCTCAAGCTGTATTCAAACGTTATACGATATGAGGCAACCTTTACTCAACCTCTATACAAGCAAATCTGGCAAACTTAGTCAGCTTCTTATAGCTGTTGGGATGGTTGGAACAAGCTCTTATTGCATTTCCATTTACGCTTCTATGCAGCTGTTATCCTGGTATTTAGTTGTGTAGGAACTTGAAAGGTGCTTATTCAACCTTATCTCCGTTATCCAATAATCACTACACAGCTTTCTCTTGAAGCCGGGTTAAATATCCCTAGTAGCACGCTTGTCACAAATCAATTGTAGAAACTTGTATACGACTTATTTCAGTCATAAACAAGTTGCTGTAACTTATTGTGATGAAAGTGTGCTGCTCGGGATTGTTTAAGCTTTTTTTGTTGGAGGAGTTGATTGAGTTTATTTTGCTGTGTGAATCAAATTAATCGAAATTAGTTATAAGCTCACCACCTGGAATCGAACTCGAGACTACCGTATT